TATATAAAGGAAAAAGTAGTTTTGGTCAAATCCAAAATCATTACCTTTACCCTCAGGTGGAGCCACCCACAAAAGTCATCTAACTGTGAGCAGGAAAAACCCTTTCAAGGGGGTTGATGTTGTAAATTAGCTCTGGATATAGACATCAGAAATGATATCTGCAACTGCAAATGTTTCCCTCATAACTAAATTATAAAATAAGTACCTGAATCCAGACTCAATTTAGTTTGCTTATGGCCTTATAACCACCAAAGAGCTGTTTATTATTTGTCTAATAGCACACACGTAGGTTGTTACGTGAAAACAAAGGAGGGAGAATCAGTAAAACACAAAAAAGAAAATGCTTTATATCTGGTCTGTGCCATGATCATAACAGTTATTAAGTTGTTTGTGGGACACAGAAGACTTTCAGATTTCAAAATGGTCCCTCTTGGTTGGAGGATAAAGGGGAGCCTAAGCAAGTTTGAGTATCTCTGGGTCTTATTCAGGATTGATAAGAAAGTGGAATGACAGGTGGACCAATGGATTGGTGCAGCGTCAGCAGTTATCAGGGAACTGTACCCAAATGTTGTGAAGAAGAGAAAGCTGAGCCAACAGCCCAATCCATCTATATTTCAACCTTCACCTATGATATCTGGGAAAGAGTATAGCTGAAACAAAGGTCATCTGTAGAATGGCTGGACTGAGCCTTAAAGAAACTCTGACGTCTTTACTGATGAGCGTCTTTCTGTGGACTTGTAGATTCAAAAGAACAATAATAGCGACAACCAAGATTGAGACTTCCCAACAGAACGTTAAACGTGGGTGATACTACTATGTCCATCCTCTATATTGTTTGTGTCAAACGTTGGGATGTAGCACGGTATGATCCCAAATAGGTGTTTTCTGTTTTGTCACATTCTCATAACAGTATCACACAGAGAGAAACTGCTTTTTCTTCTTTATACTTTCCATCCTTACTTTTTATTATGTTAAAGAAGCATGCTTCTCCCACTTTTTATAAATGCAAAATAAACAGTAATGTCACTAACGGCCTTCTGGCTATGGACTGGTTCCGATACACAATCTGGCCTTTACAGATATGGACAACTACCAGTTCAAGAGTGCGTGTTGTACCATTTTATATAGACATATAGCCCCCCCCCCCCCATAAAAACATCCCATTGCATTATTGTTGTTAGCCATTTTGGGGACAGGAAATGGGAAATTGACTTTGCCTATCCAGAGGCAAGGATTAACACTATGCTACTATAAAATGCATCTAACCACCGCCTGGCTCCCTCAGCTAAGGAACCGAGAGAGTGTGTGTGGTGGGTCGGTGAGGGGGCAAAGGATAGGAGAGGAAGGGCTTTTTAAAAAATGTGAAACTGTGTGAAAGACAAGAAAGACAAAGTTTGTCATATAAAATCCTTTTGTGGCTTTAACTTTTACAGACGTTGATGTCTGTATGTGCATTCTGTGTTGGTAACGTTAAGAAATTAACAATGAAGAGTATAAGACGACTTTCTTTAAGAGTCTGCACAAAAACTTCAGAATGCTAAAGAGAAATAAACAGTGGTTGTGATAATAAGACGTAAACAAGTTTTGTTGCCCCACTTGGTCAAAAAAGGCTCTTTTGATGGTCTAAAGGTCTAAATAATGTAGACTTGGGTGAGGAGAGGTCGTTTCTGGTTACTGTCAAATTTCTAATTCTTTCTCAAAACCTGTTGAGATTTATTTTGGCCACTCAAGTGTTACCACTGCTGCAATTCCAATTACAACTCATTGTTCTGTAGCAACACAATATGCCAGAAGTTTAGGGAAGAGTAGCTGAGCATGTGGAGATTAAATGCTACCTAGTGGACATAATGTTAAAATTAAGTGGTGATTACACTCAGTACTCCCAAGTTGGAAAGTGGCAATAGATACAACAGTGCTTTAACTTGGAGGGACAAAACAACAACAAAGGTGGATCCAAAAAGCCACGGGAATGCAACTTAATAAAACAAACAAACAAGCAAAACACCAAAAACAAAAGAAAAAATAAAAGCAGCAGAAAAATCATTACGTGATCAAAGCCGGGATGAAAAAGCAAGAATGAAAAAAGAGGAGAAAGCTTATCAGCTGGTGGTCGGTGGGCAGCACAGCTTCAAGAATGGAACCCAGGAGGAATAGAGACTTTTCTTTTTTAAATGGCGACAGCAAGAACAATCCTCCACTGTCTTCCACTGACTGCTGGGAACATCCAGTGGAAGAGAGGCTGAACGGATGAGTGCGAGTCTGAGACAGAGGGTTCCTCTGTGGGCTTGGCGTCGAGTGAGGACCTCTCTCCGCTCTGGAAGCTCTGTCTGAGCAAGGGGAGCAGGTTGTCGCCTTGGTTGCTCTTTTCTGGGCAAGTAGAAAGAGGGAGGGAGGGAGAGAGGGAGGGCACGCACCACTGGTCATGTACAGAGACCTGGCGTGGGCACACAGTCATGCCAC